CAGAACAAAGCTGCAAGGCATTGGCGGTGGAAAACTACACCTGGAATGAAGGACTTCTGCAACTTTATAAATGATAAATAAAATTATGACCATACTTTAAAAAAGAGAGAGAGGAGAGAGAGTTCGGCATCGTGACATACTCCTCTAACCTCATCAGTACTGAACAGAAGCAAGAGGACAGAGTTTGAGGCCAGTGCCAGCTCAAAGTCAGACTCTCTCTAAAGAACAAACGGCAGCCAACAACAACAAAAAACACTTACAAACACAGGTTATTAGAACCCTAAAAAAGAGAGGCTGCCTGTGAGCTCCGGCAGGACCGTTGCCGGATATGCTGTCTCCACAACTTTGTAACAGCACCCCACTAGAGAGAAAAGAAAACTGAGACGTGGTGGAACCACTTATTCACATGGGTGAGCAAAACAAACAAACAAACAAACAAACAAACAAGGCAGTGATTTTAACAGACATTTGCCACTGATCAGAAGAGCAGTTGATAGATTTTAAAGCGTGCCACACTCCTCTGGGATTATGACCCGGGTCTAATGTTCAATGTTCTCCTTCCCCATCTCTGCCTTGGGAAGACAGCCGAGCCTCTTCAGTTCTCATTGGTGATCTGAATGGACTGTCCCCACTCAGGAAAAGGCTTTACCCAGCTCAAGGCACTCAACAGGAAGCTCATGCAGCTTGCCTTTGGGGCATCTGACTCCTAACCATCATGACTGACTTCAACCCTTTGCTCCAATGATGGGCACATGGCCCAGGCACAACCAGTTAGGGCAATCTCTTTATGAGGGCATTTGAATAGATCAGAAAAGAGTAGACGTTCTCATGATGGTCTATGAAAAGAAGACTAGAATATTTTATTCTAATCCTTACTAAAAGGCAATTGACGTGGTTTGCTGATAGAAAATATGGAGAACATCTCTGAAAATTCAGCAAAAAGAGGAAAGAAGGACAAGAAATGTAGCCATGTTGAGTGTAATGGAAGTTTTGGTTTCTTTAAAAACTCAGTTATGCTATGTAAATATGTTTTTGTTTTAATCCCAAGTGTGGGATTTTAGTTTGGGCTTTCATTTGTCCACAGCTGATAACTGCCTCCTGCGGGGCATGGCTTTTGCCAGCTGGTAACGGCCTGCCTTGTGTAGCAGGAAGAGGGCCTTCTTTAGGATGCTGAAGGACATAAAGATGAGAGCCCAGAAAGAGAAACTGTGGCAGGTTAGAGAGACCAGAGACAGACAGTGTAGCGGTTTGGAGAGACTCTTCATGGCACAGCAGCTTGGCGGAGACAGACAGAGGAGACTGCTTGTTTTCGTTTGCTGTTGGCAAAGTTTGGTATGGCCCCAAAGAACCCATCAACCCTAAACAGCTTGAGAAGTAAAGGAGTCTGTGGCCCCTGTCCCCACTAATTTTCTCTTACCTAGGGTTAAAGGGTTGGTGAAGAGGAGCTGGAGGCTTAAATACCCCAAATAAAACAGAGGTTTCAAGCTAGTGCAACAGTTAAGAAAAGGCAAAGTCCTAGCAGCTAAATTTTATGGCCTGGCTCTCTCACACCCGAGACAGTTTGAGATGGGTTTTCTTTAGAATCTCAGTTGTACTTTAGAATCTCAACTAATATGGATTTTTTTCTCATTAACATTTATTTTTTTATTATAATATCCATTAGTCTAAAACTAATGAATGCTTAATGCGGAAATTTTGAGATAGAGAAAAAACACAAAGAAGAGACAGCAAAATTCACTTTGAACCCAACAAGTCTGAATTTGTAGCTAGTGTCCACGTTGTTTGCTTGTACTACAGCTTAGTTTACTAATTACCACTTTTGAACAACTGATGTTATTGCTTTTCCCCTCCCTCTCTCCCTTCTACCTTCATTTCTTCCTTCTTTCCTTCCTCCCCCAACCCTGTTGTTCACTAGTTGTTATCATGAACATTCATGTTGATGAAATGCACACAGGCATAGTCATTCTTCCCAATGGACTTCCATGCCCATACATATACTAAAGTTCTCCTTTATCTATGGTTTTTAATTTTTTAAGTAAGCATGTTTATACATGGTTTTATATAGTATAAATTCCTAGAAGTAAAATTGCTGAATAGAAGCAATGCGTGTTTAGGCTTTTGATAATACCTTGCAAAGTAGTGGGCCACTTGAATGTCTTTCTTGGTGGCTCTTCCATGACCTCTGGATATTACTGTTCAAATCAAGCTGAACACATTTTTACTGTAATGTTATCTATTTGCCTCTTTATAACTTTTAATTGTCTTGTAGGAGGAACAAAGCATATAAGGGATGTTGTATTCAATTTTGTTGTCATTGGTTAGAAATATTTAGTGAATATTGTTTTGAGGTTTTGCTGCCAATTTTTTGTAACACTGACCTGACTTGTCATAAATTAAATAAGATAACTAGAAAGGTACTATTGTGTCATTACAACAGCTAACAAAAGAGGTTTGGTCCAGATTTTGTGGGCTCAAATCCCAGTGCTACTCCTTAGTAGCTGTGTGACAACTGTATAACTTTCCTTTAAAACAAAACCTTTGCTCCTTATTTTTCTCACTCATAAATTGGAGGTAATAGAAATGTGGTTTGCATGCAGCACATCCCACCCGTTTATGCCTTTGAACACTTGGTCCCCGACTGGTAGCAAAGCTTGAGGAAGTGGAGGGACCTTCCCCAAGTGTGGAAGAGGTGGGACCTCAGGGGAGGAAGTCAGTCTCTGGAAGACTGGCCTTAGGAGTCGGAGCTTGGCTGGCTCCTTGCCTTAACTCTCTCTGCTTCCTGACTTGCTGAGGTATGAGGAGTCCTCCCCTCCCCCCACCCCCGCTGCAGTGAACTCCGCTGCACCTTCCACACCACAGTGGGGCTGAACTTCTAAAACTCTGAGCCACAACAAATCGCTCTTTTCTTAAGCTGCTCTGTCAGATATTCTGTCTCAGTAACAAGTAAGGAAAGTAACTAACACAAGTCCCTGCTTTCTGGGATTATTATGATACCAGTAAGAATGAAGCCCCGTGGCAAGGCATGGTGCAAGTTTAGCTTTCACAGGGCATCAGCTATTAGTAATGAGTGTATATAACAAAACCAGACTATTTGAGTGTGTACTGGGATGCAATCAATAGGAACATCCATTTGCTCTTGAGCTATCAGTATCCCTTACTGTCTTCCAATGACTATTATGGAGGAGAAAGAAACACATCATGTTTTTTTTTCTTTATTTAATCACTTTACAGCCTGATACCAGCCCTTTCTGCATTTTCACCCAGTCCCACCCTCATGAACCCTTCCTCATCTCCCCTCTACTTCTTTTCAGAGAAGGAGAGTCCCTAAGGGTTACCAACTCACCCTGATTGTCAAGTCATAGCAGGAGTAAGATCCTCTCCCCTTGAGGCCACACAAGGTAACCTGGCTAGGAGAAGAGGATCCAAAGGCAGGGAACGGAGTCAGAGACAGCCTTACTCCCATTGTTAGGGGACCCACATGTGGACCATGCTGCAGATCTGTTAAATATGTGCAGGGATCTAGGTCCGGCCCATGCAAGTTCTTTGCATAGTGGTTCAGTCTCTTCGAGACCCCTTGGGCCCAGGTTTCACTCTGTAAGCTTTCTTCTGGTGTCCTTGATACCTCCAGTTCCCCCAATCTTTTCTCCCGCTCTTCCACAAAAACAACATCATGTAGGAAAAAGAAGCACACAGTGTCTTTTTGAATTCCAAAGAAACTCTACTGACGGGAGTGCTACAGCTATTAAAATCGTCAATACTTCATTTTTCAGTGCCTTTCTTTGTCATGCTTGATGTTGACATAAACCTTATTAGCTGGGGTTTAGGTACATAGTCGGTGGCCCTAACAACACGTCCAGCAAGGTCTGACCAATGATGTTTATCCAGTTTATAACCCTGTTGGCAGGCAGAGAAGGCTACTGCTTTCTCCTCATGAAAATTAGTGCCCCATGCTGGATAAATGGATGTTTACAGTAGTTCTGGGTGTGGGCATGACGTAGATTGAGGGAATGGAGGAGAGTACATTATAATTAGCAATATATGATAAACCCTTCCTAGGAAATAATAATCATTACAACACAGGAAGGAACCTGCCAGCCATGTAGCCCAACCCCCACTGAGGAAGGGAGGCGGCAGGATCGCCCTAAATGGGTTACATAGTGTTTTTTTTCCCCTGATGAAGTTTCACAACCTCTTTTTATGAACTATTAATGTGCTCATTCATTCATATCATGGGAAAAAGTAACTAATTTTTAACTTTTAACCACAATAGATTGGCCTTCCCATGACGCTTCTGGTGCTCTGAAGCCAACTGGTTTCACAGCCTGGCTTTTCCTTCTCATCACAGGATAGAAAGTAGTTACTTTCACTTTCCCTAACTTAAAACACTCATCTCTAAATGTGCTTCTATCTCCAGGAGTTCAGCTGCAAAACCATCAGTCAAGACTAAAACCAGGGCTGGAACCCACCTGCACTGCTACAAACCAAGCAGATATTTTTCAGGGTGGAACTTTGAGAGCAACAAAGGATGCCCAGAAAACCCGTACACAAAGATTTTGATTCGAAAGATGTCTTCTCCAAAATTGTGATGAACAGATGTGGTGCTAAGCGGGGAATGGAAAGTGTCCAAGCGTAAGGTTGGAATTCCCCAGCAGGGGTCCTAGCCCTGGCTCCCTTTAGGCATGCAGTCCCTAGCAGAGGCAGCAGCTACCCTGGACCTCCGTTTCCTCCTTTATGAAAAGGGCCTGGCCGAGGACCAAAAGGGCTGTGTATATATGAGTGCCGCCCATTCTGATTACCGCTCTTGGGCTGACAATGTACGTCAGCCAGGGACATTAATTTTGGCCTCCTGGAATCTAGCCTAAGCCACCTTAAATGGAGGCCACCTAACCTTTGAACTCTAGCTTGGCCTGAAGCACTTTGTGCTGAAAGATTATCAGATGTGAACCCGGTTTGCCATTTTCAAATCACGTTTGGACCAGCCTACTTCCTGGATGGCGAATTCTCGATGAAATGATGCTTTTGAAACCGTGTTGGGGTGTTGCTTCCCAAGTGTGCGCCTGACCAAGAACAGCGCAGGAAGGCCATGAGCCCAGTACACTCCCTCCATCTCCCATCTCTGTTCTTTCTGGGTAGGTGGCCTCGGACAAGTGGCTTAGTTTCTCTGTATGTCAGGCTCCTCACTGGCAAGCAGAGACAAGGAAAGTACGGGCCTGATGGGATTTGAGAGATGCTTGGCAAATTAGTGAGTATAAATGGCTTAGAAACATGACTGGGTTGAGACATGTGGTGTCCTTAGTCTCAGTCCTGGAACAGAGCACACAATGGGGAGGCCCTGAGTCAATGCTACGCTGTTACAGTGTAACTCGACTGTTACAGATGCAGGACACCGTGACATGGGACAGTGGGAAGAGTCCAAGAAAAATAATAAAGACATAGCCCTAAGTTTATATCCCTTTCTTTTTTGTATCCCTTTCTTATTGTCTATAACCTTTCTAAGGACAAGCACCTTCCTTGAGCCTGGAGAGATAGCCCAGCAGGTAGAAACACTTACCAGGCAAGCCCAAAGCCTGAGGTTGATCCTCGTAACTGACAGGGTATCTCTCATATCTGTAACCACAGCATTCCTGTAAAATGAAAGGCAGAGAAAGGGGAGTCACTGCTCACAGGCCAGCTAGCCTGGAGGACTATGCAGCAAAGCAACACCCTGCCACAACAAGCTGAAGTAAGATATCTCATTCATTCATTCATTCATTCATTCATTCATTCATTCATTCATTCACTCTTTCTCTCTGTTTCTTGTATTTTTGGCTTGCTTTGCTTTTTTGAGACAAAGTCACCATGTAGCCATGGTTGTCCTGGAACTCACTTTGTAAACCAGGCTGGCTTCAAACTCACAGGGACCTGCCTGCTCTGCTTCTCAAGTGCTGGGATTAAAAACATGTGTCCCACACCCTTGAGAACTGATTCTTTAAGGCTGTTTTCTGATCCCCATGTGTCATACAGGTTACCTGACCTGACATCCCCCTTCCCAAGAACAAGAATCATTTTTGAGAGCTGTGAACGTTTCCTGGGTATCCACAGATGTCTGGAAGTCAAGACTGGAAACAAACACAGCGCCAAGATAGCAAGCAACCAGAAAGTGCTCACTTCAAAATAAGTAAGTTTGTTTGTTTGTTTATGATTAGAGAGGTGGTTCTATGGCCAAGAGCACTTGCTGCTCTTGAAAAGGTCATGAGTTCAGTTCCTAGTACCCATGTCAGAGAGCTCACACACCTATAACTCCAGGAGAGTCAACGCCTCTGGCCTCTGTGGTCATCTGTGCTCGCTTGGACATACCCCTGCACAATACACTAATAGAAATAAACAATCTGTTTTTCAAGAGAGCTCAAAATGGGACCCTGCAAAGTTTATTATCAAATGCTTGTCTACACCAAATGCTTTGGTGGGAAAGCTCCACTGCCATTCTTTCCTCTCTGTTTTTACTGTGAGTCCATGGGTCTGTGACTGCCCCAAATCCCCCCAAACAGCCCCCAATCCCCCTCCCTCTCCCACTCCCCATCCCTTTCTCTCTCTCCCTCTATTTCTCTTTCCTGTGTTCACGTGTGTGTGTGTGTGTGTGTGTGTGTGTGTGTGTGTGTGTCCGCGTGCACACGTGTGTAGAGGTCAGAGGACAACCTCTGCTATCGTCCCACAGACACTGTCCACCTTTTTATTTAGACAGGGGTCTCTCACTATTCTGGAACTCTATCAAGTACAGGCAAGGCTGGATGGCCACTAAGCCCCTGGAATCCTTTGTCCCAGGATGTACAAGCAGTTTGCTTTTTTAATTTTTTTTTTTTTAATCCGGCGTTCTGAAGATCAAGCTCAGCTAGCTCCCCATGCTTGCAAGGCAAGTCCTTCACTGGCAGAGCCTCCTCCCCAGCCCCTTGAAGTTTGCTTTCTACAGCTGGAAAAAAAAAAAGTTAAAGGAGGTCAGTGATTTGCCTGAAGGCACCTAACACTGTCTGAGCTGAAATCAATACTGTCCAAGCTCTAGTTTTAAAACCCTGGCCAATGCCCTTTCTGTAACTAATCTTGGGGGTCACAGCAGAGGGGGCCAACAGGGGGACTAGGAACGGGCAAAGGAAGCATGCACACGCAATTGTGAACCTTTGTTTTTCCCATCTCACACGTGCACAGAAAAAGGATATATGATCACAGATGAATGACACAATTATTTATCAGAGAAGTCCAGGCTAAACAAGTCGTCATTAACTATCCGAGGCAGAAGTCATTGGCAGCCTTGGATGTTATTTTTTTTTTTATTATTCATATTTTATCAGGACTACATCTTGCTGCTGTGTTGGGTCCTAGCAGCATTTTGCCACATATGTGGACAGAGCACGGCTCACTGTCAGCTGCTGTCTGGGGTGGAGATGGGGGGCTCTAGAGTAACTCCAGTAAGTAACACAGCCTGATAGAGTACATCCTCATGTGTACCCACAGAGACAGGGCTCTGGATTACCATTAACAACCCACCCACACCTGCAAGATTGCATAACACCCTCCAGAACTGTGATTCGAGGGACGGGCTTCCTCTGTTCCCTCTTACTGGCCTGCAGCAACCAAGATCAGCAAGTAGATTTACATGTAGAGTCAGGACTCCAGGGAACAGCACTCTGTGCCATATTTGAATTTGGAGGGAAAATTATATAACTGCTTACTCAACCTGATAAAGCTTTGGAAATCACCTCTCTTTTTCGTGTCTGAATAAACAAGCCTATTGGCAAATGCAAATGTCCTTGTTTGACCAGGACTCAGGGACAGTGCGCGGGGCACCCCAGCAAAACTTTAACCAGTAATCTCCAGATCATATCAGTTTTTTACTTTTGTTTATCTATTCACATATTTATTTTAACAGTTTGGAGATTAAATGTAGGGTTTGAGTATGCTAGGCAAGCGCTCTATCACCAAGCTATACCCACAGCCTTTATTGCATTTTAATTTTATTATTTGTTTTAGACAGGGTCTTTGGAACATGTGCAGGCTGGCCTGGAACTTGCTGCCTAACAGACTGACCTCCAGATCCTCGTCCCGCAGTCTCCTCAGTGCCAAGACTACAGTTATGCCCTGCCATAGCTCAGTCGCCTCTTCTCTTGAAACTGATTGGGAGATTCTGACAGTATGTTAGTTACTTTAAATGTGTGTGACAGCCTGCTTCTGCAGACCAGACATCCCTCAAACTAACTAATTTCCACCACACACCATAAGGGACATGTAGGTAGGTTTGGCCTCAGAGAACTGCCCAGTTGTTCTGTGTTTGCGAATACCTGGGTTATTAATCAATTGTGACCTCTGCTGTCGCCATCTACAACTTCTACAACCGAGCATTCCCGAGTCACCCGCTGTAGCTTCTTCTATTGACCAGGTCTCAGATGTTTTCCTTTTGATCCTGGATCACACAGGACTGGAACCCCAAGCTCCTTCATTCTTAAAACAATTAAAGACGTCAAGTTTATAAAACAAAGTAATCACTTATGAAGTGTCTTTGCACAGATGCTGGAGATGCCCCCATCTAACTTCCGACTTCCACAATGCCCTTTCCGAACTGGCTTCTTGGTCTTGGTTTGGTTTGGTTTTTGTGGTGCTGGGATGGAAGTGAGGGCCTCCTACATGATAGAAAGTGTTCTGCCACTGAGCTACACCCAGGGTTTAGCCCGTGGACACCCTTCCTGCAGCAAAAGAATAACCTGCAAGGACACGCTGGGCTAAATATGCCCATTTTTAACCCTGAAGAAGAGATCATTTTGTCTACGCACGTGTCCAAAGGGTGCCAAAAAGATGCCCATCACAATTTAAGGATACTTCTATACTTACTTTAATGACTGACTATTACGACACTTACACACACACAAAGCTATATGTCACAAAAAGGGCAATAGAAATTTTACTTAAGATTCTTTTGAGAACAAAAATAAATTCTGATGAGAGACTATCACATATCAGATGCTATTTTTTTCATTCTTGCCTTCAAAAATAAGGATGTCTGAGCACAGGCCTGGTGGACCTTCGGAAACGGATTCCAAAAAAAAGTGATCTCTTCGGGCATACCCTCTGAGATAAGGGTTAGATGACCAAGAGTCTCGGCTTTGCAGGCCACATTGCCTCTATTGAGACTACACAGGTCTGCCCTTATAGTGAAAGGCAGCTTTAGAAAATATGTAGGCTTGAAGGCTTTTCAGTAAATTTTATTTACACAAGCAGATGTGGAAGGCCTGATTTTGTCCTTTCGCTAGTTGCTGAACCCTGTTCGAAAAGTTTTGTTGTTGTTTTGTTTTTTATTTAATCATTTTACAGTCTGAACCTAACCTTTCCTCCCAGTCCCACCCTCATGCCCCCTCCTTCCATCCCCCCATCTCCTTCTCAGAGATGAGGAGGCTCCCAAGGAGTACCAACCTACCCTAACACCTCAAATTGCAGTGGGACTAAGCACATCTTCTCCCACTGAGGCTAGGAAGACAAGCCCAGCTAGGGCAAAGGGATACGAAGGCAGGCAACAGAATCAGAGACAGCCCCTACTCCCATTGTTAGGGGGCCACATGTTGACTATGTTGCATACCTGGTACATATGTGTAGGGGGTCTAGACTCAGTCCATGCATGCTTTTTGGTTGGTGGTTCAGTGAGTCACCCATTGGCCCAGGTTAGTTTACTCTGTAGGTCTTCTTGTGGTATCCTTGACCTCTTTAGATCCCTCAATCCTTCTTCCCACTCTTCCACAGAACTCCACAAACTCAGCCTATTGTTTTGTTCTGGGTCCCCACATCTGTTTCCATCAGCTGCTGGATGAAGCCTCTCAGAAAAGTTATGTTAGGTTCCTGTCTGCAAGCACAGCAGAGTATCATTAACAGTGACAGGGATTTTTACTGTTAAGTGTTAACATCACACCGACTTTATCCAGGATGTAGAAATCTTTGTTAAAATTTGCCTTCATTTCAACAATACTGCTACCAACAATATGGAGCAGGCATTTTGTGTTTCTGAAGCCACTTGAAGTCGGTACGCTATGAAGATGTGGCAGATATGTGAGCCTTATTGTTCTTATTCGATAATATATTTAAACTTTAAGACAGGGATTGGAGTGGGTCTCAAGTTGGCCAGACACTGGTTGGCCATTCCCTCTATCTCTGCTCCATCATTACCCCTATACTTCTTGTAGGCAAGACCAATTTTGGGTTGAAGATTTTAGGGGTAGGTTGGTGTTCCCCTCCCTCTGCTGGGAGCCCCGGCTGGCTATAGGAGGTGGCTAGTTCAGGCTCCTTAACCCACCCTGCTGCTAGAGTCTCGCATCTTCAAAGTGTACTAACTTCAAGTGGCTTCAGAAACACAAAATGCCTGCTCTATATTGTAGGTTGTGACAGTTGTGTTGAAATGAAGATAAATTCATTTCAACAAAGATTTCTACATCCTGGATAAGGTCAGTGTGATATTAACACTTCAACAGTAAAAATCAAGAATTCCATGGGCTACATTCTCTCAAGGCACAAGATAAATATAGTACTGGGTTCTTTAAGCTGTGTCTTATCTTTCTGTGCAACCCAAGGAAATCAGATTGTTGGCAGGTGACTGTGGTAAGATTTTCTTCTCACCCTAAGGCCTCACTCCAGTTGGAAAACACCTCCCTGATCCTCTCCAGGTAGGGTTCTGCTTTTTCTAGAAATCTGATATTCTCAGAACCACAGGCTCAGGCACTGCATGGGCAAGCAGGTGGTGCCTGCTGGGCTCAGGCTGTTGCTTGTCCAACTAGAGAGAGAGAGAAAAAAAAACCATACCCCTTGAAGTCTACCATTTCTTTCCTTCTCAAGGCCAACCAGGAAGAACTCAGCTCCTCATTCCCCACCCAACCACACATTTGAAATAAGTAGATATTTATATTTTACCTTCCTGTTTAATATTTATCTTGACACGCTGGTGATATTGGCATTCATGTTGGCATGATAAGAAATAGAGGAAGGTCTTTTTTTTTTTTTTTTTTTTTTTTTAAGAAAAATGGTTTAGGGGGAAATGGAGAAACGAAAAAGGTGTGGCACCAGACAAGCCAAAAGTTAAGAGAAGTTCATCCAAACCAAAATGATCTTCTGGATAGAAACCAACCCCTGAAAATCAGTGACTTCTGACAGCCTCCTCAGGAAAAACAACCAAATGTAAGCATGGGAGGGAACCAAATATATTCACGTGAACATGGGGGATATGATTTTAGGGGCCCAAGGCCAAAGAAATTGGGGTACAGTCATGGCACAAGTCAGCAGGAAGAAAAGGACCTTAGGGGGTTGTTTTCTGTCTCCTTTTTTATTTCTCAAGAGTCAGGTTCTTCAATCTATTACTGCAGATAGAAATCACTCCTTTCTAGTGTATAGTCATACAAGTTTTGACAGGAAATCATATTTCTCTCATGCCCCTTTGCAATTGGCTGTTTTGGCCCCTCCCAGGCCCTGGCAACTGCTATTTTTCTAGTTTTGTCTTTTCCAGAATGTTTGATAACCATAGTCATATAGAGTAGCAGAAGAAATAAGACTCTCACCCCAAGGGGAGCTTTTAGAGATCAAATGTCTTCACAACAACTTAAAGCAGATGGTGCAGTTGGCAAAGAGCTATTTAAAAGTGCCGTAGATATTGCAAGTTACAACTTCCATTCTAAACGTTGTCAATCATTCTGTTGTCTATTGGTGGCCAGGCAGGTACTTCCCCAGACCTCACAGACAATAAGACCCCACACTCTGCTTTCACTCACCATTATCACTTGGATGTGCCATGGTAAAAAAAACGAAAAAAAAAAAAACCCACTTGTGCAAAATTGGACTCATATGTATACCTTCATTCACTGTGGTGGGCAGAACAAGGAGCTTCAGAGACCTATCTTCCTTTCTTCCTTCCTTCCTTCCTTCCTTCCTTCCTTCCTTCCTTCCTTCCTTCCTT